AGTCTTCAACTCTTCCAGATTAGCTATATCATCAATCATTAATACCAGTTTTCACAAAACTACACTTTTTTTTTTGGATGTATGTTTTTATATGTAAGACAGAGTACCACATTCTTCATAAACTTAATGTTTGGGTCTAGTGACAAGAATATATTTATTCCTGTACAAAATATACATACCTCTTTAATTTCAAACTTTAGTAGAAGAGTAATGAGCTCCTCATTTGGAGCCTCTATAACTTTTTTTGGTTCTGATCCTTTCACAGTTTTCACACTTTGTGTTTCTCCATCTTCTGCATCAAAATACTCATCATCAGACTCTAAAGGAAGAAAATATTCATTTGACTAAGAATAATGTCCACTAAAAGCTGCAAAAAATACTGAAGCTTAAATAAATCTCTCAAAAGTAAAATTAATTTGCTAGATACAATCTTCATATTCAGAACCAGAATAAAATTTCAGTGTGTATTAAGTCCCATGTGATAATCATATATAAAAATCATACTACCCTATTACTTTTTCCTTCAGTAGCTCCAATTGTTTCTTTTACTCAATATTCAATAAAATTTTTATGGGCACTTTCTGTCATATATCAATCTGTACCAGCCATTAAGGCTAGAACACCAAGACAGACATGATATTTGTCATCTTGAACTTTACATTCTTTTTCAAAATTAAAAGACATTAGTGATGTTAGAACTAGAGAAAAGGATCAGTTAGAGATTGGGAGTGAAGAAGTGAAAGGACATTATTTAATAGCTTAAAACACTTTTCATTCATAAGATCATAAAAAGTTTTCATTCAAATGAAGAAACTTAAGCCTAAAAAAAAATTGGTTCTAAATCTCATTGTTGGCCAGTAGTACAAGCAGAACTAAAATCAGTAAATTAACTACAATACTTTCAAAATTTCCTTGTTTTTTTAAAAATTGTTATCTCTATATACTAGTTTATAGACTTGGAATAGTAAAGATCTTATTGCCCTTACCTGATTCTATTCCATCCAGCAACAGTGAAGTACTAAGTAGGCTTTTTGTCCTATCTGAAATTACAGGAATTGAAGACACCTAGCAAAGAATACAAGAGTCAATATACCTACATAATAAAATTAAATGTACATAAATGAGGGAAATATTAGAAAGGTAATAGAGAATAGACAGAAATGGGAAAACATATACAATAGGCAGAAATGGAAAAATATATACAAATATCCCCAGAAAGTACATAACCAATCACCTAACTAATGATTGGCGGCTAGTTATTATTATTACTATCTGCATTTTCAAGGGCAAATGCTATATTCTCTGGTAGGTAATCTATCACTCTATGCCACTTAGTTGCTGTCTATCACAATATTAACTGCACATCTTTATTATGGGTTCATGGAAAATTCTGTCAGTAACTAATTTGCACTCTCAAATTTCATTTTAAAGTGAAAATTCATCATTTATTTTATGTTGTAAAGATCAATTCCAATTAAAATGACCTAAAACTTTTAAGTCATAAAGAAAGAAAATTTTACACAAATAAGGTATATATGGTGTATTATTTTAATCTTTCTGTGAACTTTTTTATTTTCAGTATTATGTAGGGCCAGTTTCACTTTTGTGTTGATTCTGTGCAGAAGTGCACATAGCATTGAATCGATAAACATCATATCCTGTTTTCATTAGTTTTAGAATGGTGGTTGAAAGTCAATTTGGAAAAAAAAAGTCAACTGAGGACCAAATTTTTAAAATACGTAAATGAAAAGAAAAATTGTCTTTAAATTTATGAAATGTGTTTTAAATAAAATTTAATATGAAAATCTTCTGTAAAATATTATAAAACAAAAGTTTAATAGAAAGATTAAAGTAATTCACCATATATACAAATATAAATAGACTTAACATTCTCATTATATTTATTTACCTGTCTCTCTGGAGACTGTGTTAATGACTTCTTTGGCAATGGTATACTGTTAATCAAACAAAGCACACCTTTCATCTTCTGGTCAGAAATTCTCACATGCATCAAGGGCAGCCCTCCTGATGCTTTAAATCTAAAAATCAAATAAGTAACTGTAAGATTAAGATAGACTTCAGCTTCTCTGTAATATGGTGAGAAGAATGGACTATAGAAGAGACTACAGTGTAAAGTTGCTTTGGATCTGCTTTAATTTAATTAGATTAATTCCTTCTTTCCTAGACTCGAAATTAACTACATTCAATAAGTATCCAAACAAAAAATGTATAATTCTGTTATATAAAATTCTAGAAAACCCTAACAAATCTATAGAATCAGAGAGCAAATCAATGTTGTCTGGAGACTTTAAAATAGAGTTTTAAACATGACACAGAGTTTAAAATACAAAGGAGGCCCTCCCTGGTGGCCCAGCAGGTTAAAGCACAGCACTAAGAAGCTAAAGCCACTTTTGCATGAGTTCGATTCCCGCCTGCCCAGGAGGTGACCACATGGCGCGGCAGACCTCTCCTGATCCGCCCGCTGCTCCCCTCAGCAGTGTACTTCGTAGATCTGCCTGTTCTGCTCCCTACTCTGTCTCTGGTGAAGCCTCTCACCGCCCCTGAGCCTCTGGCCTGTACCCCAGTTCTGTATGTACAAATAAATAAATCTTTTAAAAAATAATAAATAAATAAATAAAAATAAAATACAAAGGAGTATAAGCTATTTTAGGGATGAAGAATATATTTATTATCTTGACTTTTGTGATTGTTTTGTGTGTGTTTGTATGGGTGTACACATGTAAAATTTATCAAGTAGTTTATTTTAAATAGCGATTATTTTGTTGCGTGTCAATGATTCTTCAGTACAGCTTTTTTTAAGAAGGCAGTGTAGGGACCTCCCTGGAGGCGTGGCGGGTTAAAGCACAGCACTTAGAAGCTAAAGCCACTTCTGCATGAGTTCGATTCCCGCCTGCCCTGGAGGTGACCACATGGCGTGGCAGACCTCTCCTGACCCGCCTTCTGCTCCCCTCAGCAGTGTACTTCATAGATCTGCCTGTTCTGCTCCCCTCTGTCTCTGGTGAAGCCTCTCGCCTCCCCTGAGCCTCTGGCCTGTACCCCAGTTCTGTATGCACAAATAAATAAATCTTTAAAAAAAAAAAAAGAAGGCAGCGTAAATATATCTTAATTATCTACTTAAATTCAAAATTCAGTTTCTACTATTCATTCCCTCAACTTATTCTCAAAGTTTTATATGATTTAAAAAGTTCATCAATTTCTTTTTTTAAAGATTTATTTATTTGTGCATACAGAACTGGGGTACAGGCCAGAGGCTCAGGGGTGGCGAGAGGCTTCACCAGAGACAGAGTGGGGAGCAGAACAGGCAGATCTACAAAGTACACTGCTGAGGGGAGCAGCAGGCGGATCAGGAGAGGTCTGCCGCGCCATGTGGTCACCTCCAGGGCAGGCGGGGATCGAACTCATGCGGAAGTGGCTTTAAATTCTCAGTGCTGTGCTTTAACCCGCTGCGCCACCAGGGAGGGCCCAAAGTTCATCAATTTTTAAAGAGTTCATCAATATTGAATCTTGGATTTGATCCAGTCAAAACATATTTGACCCACTTTCATAGGAATTAAAAATACCAATTCATCTGAAAAAAAAAAAAGTGACATATATAATTCAAATATTACTTTCTTTAAAATGCCTTTCTGTCATTTGTTAATCATTTTTTTCTGTCCATCAGAAATTTAACTTTGTTTTAATAAAATATGGTAACTGATAGAGATACAGTGTTGATTTTATAATATAAAGGAAACTCATACATTACCTGGCCATTCTAATGTCTTTTTCTACCATTGCCTTAGCCAACTCAACATGAATATCCATGGGTTGCAATATATGCATAGTTGATGGATGCTGAAATCGACACCTTTTCCAGTTTTCCTCTTAAAAGATAATACTCAATATTAAGTGATGCACTTATTTATTTAATGACTATTTTTAGATTATCAGATATTATATAGAAAACTACTTGAACTTATTAAAAATAGTTAACAAACATATTCAATGAATTAACAATTTTTCTTTAACATACAAGTTAAATATACTATTTGCTTTTAAACAGACACTGACACAAGTCAAAGATTGTAAAATTACAAAAATTACAAATATTTAGAGATATTTACATAGATAACATTTTAAAGCAACCAGCAAAAGCCCAGAAACCTATTCTGCCCTCGTTTCAGAATTAGTAATTAAGGTCAGTAGTTGCAGTGAAAAAAGAAAAAGTAGATGACAGAGGAAAAAATTCTTTGGAATTTCTAACTGCAAGTAGGAACTTAACACATAATTACAAGAAAAATTACTTTTACCAACCAAGAGTTTATAACAAAAAATGTATAAGACCTTTTTTTCAAAGAAGAAGGGCCTAAAAGCAGGTGTTCCAGTGACTAAAATAATCCTACAAAGATCTTAACTGATGGCAATCACTGAACACCACCACTGAACATCAAATAATTACCATTTATAATTCAAATAATTAAGTATATATAAAAGAAAATGGCTATGATATGTTCTCATGGTTCATAGTAGCATTTCTCTTCAAAGAATTAGTAGGTTCCTAATATATAAAAACTAATTAAATATTAGTATGCAATATACAAAAACTAAGGCCATTAGATAGATTCAATACAACTGTAATAAAGACTAGGCTAAAATAATAAAATATTTCAAAATAAAGCAGCAAGATATAAAAACATGGAGATATCCTAAAAGGATTGGGACAAAGGAACTGGAAGAAATGTTGACTATATTTTGTGTCCTAGGCAGTTTCTTAATCACATCATAAAAAAACAGGCAGATGGGCTCTCCCTGGTGGTGCAATGGGTTAAAGCACCACATTATAAAGCTCTCTGAAGCCATTGCAGCAGGAGTTGGATCCCCCACCAGGGAGGTGACCCACATGGTATGGCAGACCTCTCCTGACCTGCCAGCTACTCCCCTCAGCAGTGTATTTCAGTACATTTGCCTGTTCTGCTCCCCACTCTATCTCTGGAGAATCTTCTCATCCACCACATCTCTGGTCTGTACCCCTGTTCTATAAGCATAAATAAATAATTTTTTTTAAAAAGGCTGTGATTAAATTGTTTCAAAGAGGGCTACATACCTTAAGATGCACAGTCAAATATTACCTGTAATTGTAACTGTAACAATGATTTGCCACAATGTTCCTATTGGGTTTTTTTAAGTACTGTGTTTAAAATGATTGTCAACATACAAACATATTCATACATTTACCAAATATACTTAACACATTGTGAAAATCCTAGAAATTGAGCAACAGTTTACCTGCTCTTGCAAAGAGTAGCTGCACACTTTTTATTTCAACATCAAACTTGTCATATGCCTTATCCATTATTTCTTCTAGAGATGAATTACTAGTCTTCTGTAAACCTTGATTTTTACTGTTAAGCTAAAATGGGGGGAAAGTTTCAATATATTTAACAGAAAAGTATACATATCAATATACTTTAGCTGTGTTTTCTTAAAACCTAACTAGAAAATAAACATGGTCTTAATGAATTCACATTTTATATAATTTTTGATAACTATTTGTAGATATTTTATTGTAAATATAATATTTTAGCATATATTTTTATTATCTGGGTAGCAGGAGCTCAGCACATTTGCATTAATTAGAAAACTACCCGAAATAAGCTTCCTAGACTTGCAACTCTTTATGATTTCAAAAGTTACTGCTACCTGTGATTCCACTCCTTTGCTACAATGTCCTGCACTCCACCTGAAATAGCATATTCTGTCCCTTCTTTGCCACAATAATCAGGCTCCTAGAGTTTAGACCTAATCTTTACTTCCTACTCCTTCTTGCCAAAAGTGTAAGGATTAATTTGGGACTGTATTTTTTAAATCTTCACTTTTTCTCAGAGGTTTGTATTTCTAAGATGTTTCACACCTAAAACCTTAGAGTCCTTTTACTCTACTAAGTTGTTTATTTGTGGATTAACAAACATATATTCATATGTGAATAATTTCCTATTGTCAAAGTATATAAAAGACAAATAACAAATTATAATCCTAGAAATCCAGGAGTACTTGATAAGCTTCTCCCAATGAGAAAAAGATAGCAGTAATCCAGTCCTCGATGTGAAATCATCTACCATTACAGAAATGTATAAGATTTTTATTCTTTTATTATTTTTTTTAATAATCAAATGATCTAAAAACTTAATCTAAGCTTGACGAAATGTTAAGAGGACATAACTTTGGTTTTAGTTTAAGTGAACTCCAGTTGCAAAAAGCAAACTATCAGTCACCTACCAAGCTAAGCAAAATTATTGCCGACAGTAGTAATTCAAATATACCTACCCGAAATGTACCGAAATCCAAAATGAGAAGATCTGACTTTTCGTGGTAGAAACCTGTCTTTGGGACTATTAAATAAGAGGGCTTTAAATTTATCCTTAAATCAAGGACTTTTCGAGTTTCAATAATGTGTGTAAGTCCTAAAAGAAAAAAACAGATTAAAAGAAAGAACAGATTATATATAAAATATATAATACTATTATTAACAAGAACAATAATAACACATAGAAAGTATGATAGAGGAGAATCATTTCTTCTCACAGATCAGATTCACAATTCAATATTGTGAATACAGTTACATATTGTCAATGAGAAACTTATCACAGTACGGTTAACCCAATATAGCTAGTTATTTTATCCAGAAATAAAGCATTTCATTAATTTTTACTAAAGTAACCACATAAAATGGTTTACATGACTTCAGAAACCATGCTGCAACAAAAGTATGTCTCTTTAAAAAAACTATATTAAGGCCCTCCCTGGTGGTGCGCATTAAAGCACAGCACTAAGAAGCTAAAGCCCCTTCAGTATGAGTTCGACCCCCGCCTGTCCTGGAGGAGATCCACATGGCGTGGCAGACCTCTCCTGATCCACTCACTGCTCCCCTTGGAGTGTACTTGGTCGATCTGTGTGTTCTGCTCCCCACTCTGTCTCTGGTGAATCCTCTCACCAACCCTGTACCTCTAGCCTGTACCCCAGTTCTGTATGAATAAATAAATCTTTGGGATAAAAGACTATATTCAGACATAGTATGGCACACCAGTTAAAAACAAAGATGCAGTGATAGTTTCCATGTCAAGTTCACATGGAAGCAGATTTTCTTAAAGATAATGGCAGACAGGTAATTAGGATGCCAATTTATTTTTTCTCACTTTGACTAACAGGTAATTTGACTTAGAGTAAACCATGTATACTCAAATACAATTGCACCACATTATAGCCTCATTGAAAAGGAAAGTAAAATGCAAATGACACTATTTTAAATACAATATTTGTATTAGAATAAACAAAATCTGAGGTTAGTTATTCTTACATAATATTTTTTTTTACCTGTAGCTGTTTTCTCTTTAATTTCTTCCAGCTTCATCAACGTAGCTGATGTTATTTGCTCAAGATCTAATCCCTTATTAGATTGAAAGAATTCAACTACCGCATTGATGGTTTTCTGTAAAATAAGCAATATAAACTAGTTTTTGCAACATGGTTTCTGAAGTCATATGAACTATTTTATAAAATATGAGCAAATTATATATAGTACTTCCTACATCATAAATTTTGAAGTTTCAGCTAAATTTTACACAACTATAGCTGTGAGCTCAGAAAATATTTCCAAATGGTATTCGCACTACAACCCACGCAAGTTTATGGTGAGACAACAAATGGATGCAATCATTAAGGTGACCTTAAGTATGTTCTATGGTGGCACGTTAATTTAATAACATACATTACTTATAATTTCACTCTTTAATTAGCCAGAAGATGAAACTCCACGTTTTTATACTCAGTTGGATTCCCTTACACTTTGATGTATACCAAAAATATACAAAAATATGTCTTGCCCTTATCTATAAAAAATACAAACTTAGAAATCAATTTTGCAAGATGAAAGATCTGGAGACAATGTGAATGTATAATTTTAACACTAGTGAACTCTATGTTTAAAAACAGCTGAGAGGGCTCTCCCGGGTGGCACAACAGGTTAAAGCACTGCATGATGAATATCTCCAAAGCCCCTGCATCACATATTCGATTCCCCACCAGGGAGCTGACCCACATGGCATGGCAGACTTCTCCTGACCCACCCACTGTTCTCCTCAGCAATGTATTTCAGCCTATCTGCCTGTTCTGCTCCCCACTCTGTCTCTGGTGAATCCTCTCACCCACCACACCTCTGGACTATACCCCGATTCTGTAAGCATAAATAAATAAATCTTTAAAAAAAAAAAAGGCTGAGATATAAATTTTATGTATTTTAATCACAATTTAACTTCTCTTTGAAACAGAAAATACAATGAGTACTGCAATCCTTATGTTTTCCACCCATACCATGAAGTTACTTCTACATCATGAAGCAAAAATACGTCAAGAATTTCAACAATAAGATGGGGGTTGGGTTGCAACAAATTATACAATGAGTAGAAGCCCAGCCTACTGTCTAGCTTGAAATGAGTTAAGAGAACCTAAACAAAAAATGGAGTCATAAATATAGAATTTGAGCAAGTAATTTCCCTAACATTTTTTTTCTCATTTGACAGTATTTGAAATTAACCCCAAAGTTCTTTGAATTGGTTCCAAATAATGAAGTAAAGGAGAAAATAAGTAAAGATGAACTGAAGTAGGAAGTCAGTAAAGGAGAAAATAAGTAAAGATGAACTGAAGTAGGAAGTCAGTATGCAACTACAGGGAGTAATTGGTACAGTATGTATGGACTTTCTTAGTAGTATATTTAAATTTTTTCATTTAACATAAGCATAGGTAAATATACATTACAGTAGAAAAAATCTACAGCATGTGAAAAATTAAAATTAACTGCTAATATGTACTGCTTTTCAAACTAGAAAAAGGGGCTAGTAAACTCAAGTTATTAAATAAATGTTAAATGTGGAAAACAAATAAAGAAAACCATATGTCAGAAGTACAGAGAGTTTAATAAAGTTTAACTTTTTCCTTGTACTTACAGCATCATATATAACCTCTACGGGTTGAGACTGAACAATCAGACTCTGGTCAGCAATATTATTTTCTGGATTGGTTTCATATTCAATTTTAAGCAAGGATGATGCAGTATCACCAATTGAAGCCACAAGTGATGGTACAATGTCCTGCTGTCTCAGACCTGTTATATACCAGTGTTCTAATTTTGCTTCCAGTCTACAGTTGAGGAAAAAAGAAGTTAACATAAACATGTTCCTTTACAATGTATTAAGTTAATAAAACAAATTTCCCTTTCATAAAACTCCTTTGAGAGCCAGAATAATGCCCACTACCCAGAGGGGAAGTCCAGACTCCTGGGCCTGGCATTCAGTTACCCAAATATCTGTATTTATTTATTTTTTTTTGTTCTTAACTACTCCTCATCCAAAAGAGAAAACCACTTAGCCAACTCCGAATCACTACATAACTTTTAATTACTGTTGTATAAATACAAGCTTAACTGAACACTCCCCTACTTCATACCTATTTCTCTTACTCCTTTCCATTCAGTAACCTTAAGTCCCATCTCTCCTAGACCAAGTCATTCTTTTCCACAACTGAGCTTTCATAGTATTAAACATAAAATATTTACTTGTACATTACCTTGCCACCATGAGCTCTCTAATAGGTTACATAGTTCCTAAATTATTAACTTTATATAAGTATTCTCTTTGTCAACTTCTTGAAAACAAGAACTTATGTATAACTTTCACAATATCAAATCTGTAAATTAAAGTTATCTAATAAGTATCTGTGAAAGAAAGAACAGAGGCTAGAACAAATAATGAGCTCCTTCTATAGCTACTGAAATACACAGAATCATAAAAGAAAAGACTATCCTACTACACAAAAAAATAGTAACCAGAGAAGAACTATGATAAATCAAATTGCTTACAGAAAATAACATTACATATTCTGGTCTAAAGTAATTCTTAGAAATAAAAATTGAAATATTAAGTTTTTAAAAACTTACTTAAGTGCTTGTGCTCCTGGTCGCTGAGATACTTGCGTTCCCAGTCCAATTATCTGAATTTTCAGTATTTCTGGGATATTTTTGTTTTCTCTTATTGTAACTGATGTGCTTACTAACTTCAGTGTCATGATATGGGCAACATACTAAACAAACAAACAAAATTAATGCAAATCATTAAATTTTAAATAATTATTACTTTCTTCAGTAACTTCTTACTTAAATTTTTGAATTGTAATGTGACTGAAAGTATGATAACTTTTGAAATAAGGGATCAGGAAAAAAAGTAATAAATAAGCAAACAAACAAAATTAACAGGCAACTATAACAGTCAGAGACATTCAGCTGAGGAAGGGGAGGAAGAAGGCTCAAACAAGCAAGGAAAGAGAACAAGGGAATATAGCGATCAATTGGGTGAAATGGAGGTGGGAATTTTACAGGGACAACATCTCAACAGAAAATTAAACACTGTACAAAATGAACAATAATTTTGACACTATATGCTCACAATAAAAAAAATACATTTAAAAAAAATACATTTGAAAAGTCAATACCAAATTGCCAGCTTACAAAAATTCTAAAATTCATTTATTTTTAGTTTTGGAGGTAACCTTGATAGTAGTTACACAGAAATTGGCTTTGTGATGAGTGAAATAAAGAATATACTTTTTTGCTCATTCTTCCATAAATGAATTTTAGTTCACAATAAAAGTTTTACAATAAAGTACTAACATTTAAGTCTTTAATAAAGCAAGTATTTTTATCAAATTATTATTGCATTCAGTAAAGTAATTATATCTGAACTTGGAAAGAATTTTGATTAGTAAGGTCATATGGAAACATTTTAAAAACAGCAAAGTAGAAACAAATGACAGCATATTTTGATTATTTTAACATTCAATAACCTATTTAACCTAATTCAAGATGAAACAGTAAAATAAAACAAAATACCCCCTTTATCACCTAAATAACTACCTGCTTGGGTAAAGTTAGGTTGTAGGTGCTCTCACTATAACCAATAGCTGTAAAGAGCTTATCTTTTTCCTCTGAAGTCATAAGATCATCAATTGCTACAGAGAAAAAAAAAAAGTGTTATAAGAAATCAATGCTTACGTTTTACAGATATAATCAAAAAGCCAAACCAAACTACATAAAATGGTAAGGCAAAATCAGCTAGATAATTTCCCTTAATGTATTACTTTCAATAATTTTTTTAAATTATCATGTACTTGGTCTGCTTAGGTCAAAGGAAAGCAAAGAGATACTACTGAGGTAATTGCGGCCTCATCAAAGGATTTTACAATTCCTTACTATTTTAAAATAGAATGAAATTTAATTAAATTCAAATGTGAAATATAATAACAAGGAATGCTAAGTAATGAAAGTTTGAAATTTAAACTTTTTAAGTTCACACATTCTTTCTCAAATAAGTCAGTTTTATTTTACTTAGATAAATACAAATGTTCCATGCTGATGTATTTGCTCATATGTCTATTATACGGAGCTTCTTTATCTCAAAAATATTATGAAATCAAATTTAGTGACCTGATAACAAGATAATACAGATTTTTTCTTATTGGTGTACAATAAATTATCTGAGTTGGAACTTACTTTCAGGAATCAAAGATTCTTCATCTTTTTTCTTAGAGTCCTTCTTACTCCAAAACCCACTAAACCAACCTCCACGCTTCTCTCCTGTATCAGTAGATTTTTTCCTTAATTTTTGACCAGACCGAATCACCTAAAATTTAAAAATTAAAAATTTAAGTGTAAGATCCATACGTTCTTCTATTTCAGGTGTAACCAGGTAAGAACAATATTACAAAAGAGAAAAAATTGCAGCACAACATAAGGCTAAAAAAAGTAAATAAAGCCAGTTCCTTCTAAAAGATGCTCAACATGATTTGGTTAGTGTAGTTCTACTATTAACTTAATTTACTTTTCACACCTACTCAGAGCATTTGATGAAGCTGCACTTTATAAGGAATATAAAAATACATGTAATAAAGGTTTCAAGTGAAATTTTTCTAAGCAATGTATCCTCCAAATTTACCAGGAGACACAAATTTTGTAGATTTTTAAGTGAAAAGTTCCCTGAAACAAAGATCCTTCCACATTCAAACACATTAATTTAAAATAATATTTGAGAATTCATAGACATTGCTAGTTTGCCAAGTATGTACATAATGGGAGAGGGGATTGAAAATACAAATCCTTGAATCTCATTTCATCCACTTTTCTCAACAAATCCTAACTCTATTTTCTGCTATTTGTCGTCACCCATTTTCTAGAGAAATGTAGATTAATAACCAAAAACAGAAAACATAAGGCTAAAGAATAAAAGTTGTTATGCAGACTCTATATACCCACTTCCTGAATAAGTAAACTTTAGTAATTTTCCTACATAAAATATAAAATATTTAAAATGGTATTAAAATCAGTTAACATACCATAAATCTCTGTATGTACTGAAAAATGAAATAATCCAAAAGAGTAATTAAAAGAAAAGAATTTACTTCTATAACAGAGAACAATAGTTCAGAGTTTACTTCTAAATGAACAATAGTTCAGTTTATGCTAAGTTAAATAAGTACTCTTTAGCAACTGGACATTAAATAGTAGGTATACATAATAAGGAGTAGGTAGGTCTTCATCTGCCCACAAAACTTTCAAAGGTCCAAGTTACTCAGCCACAACTATTTCGTCAAACTTATTATCTTCAGCAGTCAGAAATGTAATGAGTGAAATATGTATCTTACATTCTATATGAGAAAACACTTAACTTACTCTCTTGGCATGAAAGATTAGTGTACTATTTTAATTTTTGCATGTATAATTTAGATAATTTATTTAATCTCCCTATGCCTAAATTTTCTTACAAACTGAAGATCAGAATAGTACCTCCTTCAAGTTAATTTTACACAGAAAATTACATCAAGAAAATGTTTGTTAGGTCATACACATCTAATGAAGAGAATCTAGTTATATTTGCTATGACTATCACTAAACCACATACCTAGTGGGTACTTTCTACTTTAATATTTTTTTTAATACAAAGCTTCAGCAAAAGCAAAACAATTTTTAGCCATGAATATTGAGTTCATTGCAGACAGGCATATTATTAATTCAAATGTTTAGCCATTAATTTGACATATTTTTAAATAAAACTAACTCCATTGTGTCCTATAATTAGAGCATGTGAGGTTTGAAATGTTAAAGAGAAGAGACACTCAAAAAATGAAACAAAAGTAAGAAAGTTTCAAAAAATGTCAAATGTTACTTCTGGATACAGGTTACTAAATTCAATAGAAGACATGGATCTTTAGAACAAAGAAATCATGATCAAGAATCTATAAGGTATTCACAAGATCCAGGATAAATCCAAAATTACTTGATGTTAAAAAATTTTTTTTAGAAAAATGTACCCAACACTCAAGGGAAAAAATTAAACAACAGATGCCTTTGACCACATAATCTAGATATAGAAACAGATAAGGAGAATACATTTAAAATTACTAAAATGATCATTTTTATCACAGAAATGGAAACTATAAAAAGGAACTTTACAGGAATTCTGACTTGAAAATACTATTTATATGAAGACTCCCCAGATGGGTTCAATACCAAAATGGAGATGACAGAGAAAAAAAGTGTACTGTAAGATACATGAATAGAATTAAGCCAAACTAAAGAACAGAGGAAAAAACACTAGAGAAAAAAATAAACAAAACTTGGCATGAGTAAATGGTCACATATAGTACCTATGTATACATATACAATATGTAGCCACTTGCTTTCTCTTTGAAAGGTTTCAAAGTTTTTAATTACAAAATTGTAATTTTTTTTCAATTTTGTTGGTTTTTTCCCCCAAATACTACAATTTGTTAACCTATAAAAACTCAATTTTTATTCTCACCTGAATAAATCTAACAATTTCCTTTGAAACCTAAATTTCTTGATCCTTGATAAAAAGGAGAAATATTAACATGTTTGAAACAAACAAAAAAAATTGGTAAATAGAAATGATTACCTCAACTTGTGCTTGTTGCCTTGCTAAAATTATGTTAAAAACATCTAGAGAGTTCTCCAAGTCCTACAAAACAAAGAGAGGTTTGTAATGAACAAAAATGGCTGTTAGATTAAAAATTTCTTCTTCATTTTTTAGGCTTATCTATATAAACAAATAGTATTTGTGGTTTAATAAAAGTATAAGTTAAATCTGAAAGTCCATTTAAGTTTTATTTTTAATTTTTGCAATAAAGAGATATAAATTTTCCAAGAAAGTAAATCCTCATTAAATTAACATGAAAATAAGGATTTTAATAAGACCATTACATTATAGTCATATTTGCAAATGGAACAAGGATATCTGCTTTAGATATTATCCCTGAGGTTCTCACTTCTAATTCTCTCTATTCTACATTATTTTACAACCATTAGACTAAAAGCATCATTAAAAAACACAAGACTTAAGAATGTAAAATTCTGCAAATCAACAAACAAGCTACCAAAAGTAGAAGCTGATTTGGGAAATTTATATCAACATATATAAGAGGAGTGTGACATGTACGAGGTGAACTAGGTATCAGGTGGTCTGCATACAATCTCATGCAGATGTCACAAATCTGTAAGACAGATAATGTTTCCATTTTACACTTGAGAATACTAGACCTGAAGTGCTGAGAAACTTGATATCTCTGTTAATACATAACACAGGATTTTAATCTATTTCAGAAAAGTAGGAATTTAATTAACTTCACATTACAAATCAGTAGCAGAAATAGTTATATAATCTATGTCAGATTTATTAAGCAAATTATGTATTCAACATGTGTTTTGCTATATTTCAAACAGGTTTTAGGAACTTTGATGTCAAAGAGGAATACCACTTTTTATTACAAACAATACTCTGAACTCAAAAAAAAAAGTCAAATAAGACAAAGCAAATAAAATACATTTAGCTAATAATAAACATGAGTTTTAACAGCGCTAAGTGGTTTCCTAAACATTATCGTAAGAACCAAACACCTATCTCCTGTATAGTAATTTTATTTTATCTGGTGTTATGATAGGAGGAAAAGTTTAAGAAGAGAAAAATTCTGAGAAAAATTACTCTACAATTTCCTATACAATTCTCTCAAAAAGGACAGCATTTGTTTTTCTAAAAGCATATTTCAATTCAAATCACATGTAGACGAATCAGTATTATAGGATGATTTAACAAATAATAGCTTTCCCTAATAATATACAAATTATACCTGAACTTGTTTCTGTATTTCTTCTGATACTTTAGCCTGTGTTAACTTGTTTTTGTAGGCATTTTTATAATCCTTAAGCAACTGCCTATGCTTTCTTATGTTGTTCCATGACCACATCTGTGTGTATCTTCTTATATGAACTTCAAGAACAGAATCAATTGCATATTTCCACCTGCAAATCAAATTTCGTTAATACACACTTTTTTTTTTCTTTTTACATTTTTGTATGTAAAAGAATTGTGGTGTAGGCCAGCAGTGCTGGGGGTGAGAGGATTCACCAAAGATAGAGTGACGAGCAGAACAGGCAGATTTACTGAAGCACACTGCTAAGGAAAGCAGTAGGCTAGACAGGAAAGGTCTGCTGTATCACATGTGGACTTGCTCCCTGGCCAGGGATCGAAGTCAGGCCTGGTGGTGACTTAACCCCTAGGCAACCAGAGAGGCATTGTTAATACACATTTAAACTGTAGGAAAACAGCTTTTTTCTAATAGCTTTGTTCATGTTGTACTCTTAGTAGCATTGTCTTGTAACAAACAGCTCAGCAATAACATTTAAATTCCCCAGTATAATTATCTGATTTAGGTATAATGGATTATGATGAAACTCCTTCAGGAAGAAAGTATGCCAAGGCAAAAACACAAAGGGACAAAATAACGTTATCTGAAATTAATAATATTCTGATATGATTACAACATCAATTGAGTTCATTTGAGTGTCCAGAGATTAGTAAAACCAAAAAAAGTTTAAAGTCTTGAATGCTAAATTAAGAATTTGAAAGTAATCTAGGAGCTTGAGTATGAAATAATGTGTTTATGAAAAATGAACAAGGTCATTTAGAAGGTATCTCTCTTTTGTATGTTAAACAAGAAAGTGGCTTCATTACACAGTTTTAAATGTCTCTTAATTCTGAGAGTCCCCTCCCAACTATAAGACACATTTCTACTTAAAAAAAAAAAATGCTAACTTACCATTGTCGGCTATTGTTATGAAGTGGTAAATAAGGCTTATATTTCCTGTAAGGGGCATTTCTAACCATATAATCCACTGATTCCAAAAGGTCAATCATACTTAAGTACTATTAAAACAAGATTAAACTGCAGTTATTACACTATACACATTAATAAACACCAACTTTCATTATATTTTCATTCTAGTAAGATTCCAGATTTTCTGACAACAAATAACATAGATATATGGTAATGCAATACATTTCATCAAATTTAAAATACCATCAAATGTAAGTTGTGATATAATTTTTAAGCTTCCAATTTAACTATCACACCACTAGTAATAATACACATCCTATTTCAGATACATTAATATGTGAAATAAATGTATATTTTAGAATGGAATATGCTACTAACAACTATTAACAGGTTACAAAAAATATGTATTTTCATCTGGAACATCTTATCAGCCCTAGTTACCTCCAAGCTACTCCATAAATTATTACACACTAAAGCAAAATAATTACTTAGTGACCTATCCAATTACCAACACAGCAATTCTGTATACCTGATAAATAGCTCAATTGGAAAGAAACATACACACACAAATAATATGACTGTAGACAAAACAAAAAAGGGCAAGATGACTTCATGCTCTCTATATTTTTAGAAGTAATTCTATTTAAGGGTACCATGTGGTTATTTAGCACTTAAAATGTGGATTGTCTAACCTTAAATATAAGTGTAAAAATACATCTTAGCTTTCAAATGCTTAAGGAAAGAGAAATAATGTAAAATATTGTTTCATGTTGACTAGGTAACTTTTTTAGAAGTCAAATCTTAACAAACCACAAGAACTATCGATACCAGGACAGCAGAGAAGAAAGAATTACAAAGGACAAAAGCAGTCAGGATTTAAAACTAATCAAAGTTAGAAATGCCTAAGAAAATCTTACCTGAGGTTTGGTCAGTTCAATGGCAATATTTTGTACTTCTATGTTCCAGTCAAGCTTAGGTGTTTTGAGTTCTGTTTCCGCATAAGGATTCATGTAGAGTTTTGCAGAGGCTGAAATTGGCTGGAAAACTTTTATCACATGGAAAGACATAAGATATGTTTATATGTTCTTATAGACGAACAACTGTAATTATGAGAATATTGTTACTCCAAAAGTAAAGAAATTAAAATATATATAGAAAAATGTAAAACAAAAATTCACTACCCCAAAATATTTATGTATCTGGCAGTCTGCATTCTGTCAACTGTCAACCTCAATAAAGCACAATCTCCAAGAAGGAAATTAGAATTGTATATATCAAAGTGAGAAATGAAACAAAATATACACAAAACCTAAATTAGGTTTGTCTGTCTTACTACAAAAAATTTAATGATTTAATTTTTCCTTAAAAATAATCATACAAGAGAAAACAAAATTGTGTTATTTCTATTTTATAAAAAAACTGATAGTTTTTAGGAACATAATCATAAATGAAATTCAAGATACCCAGAAAACAAACTGCTTACGAATGTACAATTCTGAAAATGATCATTACACATGTATAATTTAGAATTAACCAAAAAAATATTCTTGAGGCTGAGAGGTAGCATAAAGAGATGCATTAGGGAAATGATAAAGCAAAGTAACAATATAAATTTTAACTGTGAATAGCATGAAAACTACATGAATTATGCTATCTGTATAGTATTTGCAGTGTGTATAAAATTATATGAAATTTTAACTTATTTGGAGGCTATTTATGAGTAGAAAATGCTTAAGAATGAAGTACATTTTTCTGTACTATTTATTTCCACTACCAAACTGAATGCATAAACTGAAATCACTGAAACTAAATTCTTCCCAAGCTAGCAGCAACTGAAAACTGTCTTTGTTAAATACAGGAGTCTATGGAAATAAATGGAAAATGCCAACTTTCATATAAAGGCAATTTGCTAAAAAAGAATTAAGAAAACAATGAATTAGAGCAATATGGAATAGGGAAGAACCTGAGCAGGAAAGCTGAGAAAAACCATAAAGAAGTAATATTAAATAAAAACAAAATAGCTTTTTAACAAGGGAACAGAAATGGAGAACACAGATAAGATAAATAACTATGCAGGCAACTTTGTCAGAGATCTATTTAAGAATAAATAAAAGTGAGACTGCCAAAAAAGTAGGAAGTTTACTTATTTAAGTCTCTAGGGCTCAGTTCAATCTTGACACTGCAATAGTAACTTGTGAGGGGTGACCTAATTACTAAGACCTCACAGGTTTAGTTTGTTTTTTTTTAAAGGAAGAAAAACTAACTTCTAAATAAAGAAGAAGAAAACAAAAGGAAAAGTGGCAATCAAGGATGGTTAACTGTTGGGGTAACCACAGTCAAATGGTCCTTCTTTCTATTATTCTCCAGCAGTGACATGCTATAACCTATTCCTAATTAGCTACCTATAATCCAAATACCCTGTTTCACAAAATAAGGTATAAAATTAGTATTTTTTCTTTGTCAGAATAACTTTATATACAAAATATATTAAAGCATTTAATACCTATGACAAAATAAACATTTACCATTACTTACTATATTGATGATCTAGAGATACATCGCTACTTTTAAGTATTTCACTTTTGAGTTGATTCTAAAGAAAGAATATGAATTATATAAGAATTATTTAAGAAACAAAACACAAATATTCAGCCATACATGCAAAATAAAACCTTGACATTTAAACCAGTATCTTTAGCTCCCTCTTTGTAATTAGTAGTCCACAAGAACACACTCAGCATCATTTGTAGGTATTTTTTTTTAATAAAATACAGAAGTAAATAATTTTTCAGTTTTAAATATCTAGAAACAGTATTATAACACTGTGCTCCCCCCGTTGCTTTATACACATACATGAATATATGTATATGTGTGTATACACACATACAGATGGATTTCAATTTTTTTAGCCAAAGGCAAATTATTTGTTCCATTAGCTTCCTGTGAAATAAGACAGGATCTTGGAATTAATTCAGTTCAGAAAATTAAATTGTTCCTCCTTTATACTATGAGTAAATATTATGAACACTAGTTGAGCCTGCAGAATTTTTAATTAATCTTACTCTGAACAGGAAAGCATCACAAATTCTTAAAACATTTGCTGAGATTATGTTCTTTGGATCTGAAAGGTATCATCTTTCTATACAAAACTCTTCAAATAATCATTTTGATATAAAATACCACAATGTAACACAATGACAGTCATCCAAATAAGAGTGTAAAAGAACTTAAATATAATTTTAATTTAGTAAGATAGGTTTCTCATCTCACTGTCAAGGGAATAACTTCATAAAGATCATCAAAAACAAAAGTGCTTTCTTAAAGACACAGAATAGATTTCAAATGCTGTGTTTCACAGTTCTGACTTAGTTACATACATCCTAAACAAAGATCTGATAGCCTGTCCTCTTTAAGGACTTCATATGTTAAACAAATGTAGGGATAATAGTCTTCCAAAGTGAAATTACCAAGATCTGTTCCCGTGATCCCTGGTAAGACATGCTACAGTTTACATTCCAGTAGGCGCTAAGACTATCAAGCCGTATAAGCTATAAAAGAAAAATGGAAGAGATGAGGCATTTACCACACTGAAATTATGAAACCATACAATCACATTCACTCCTCCAAAATAATTCAACTACCATTTTGAACTTTCAAAGAAAAGAAATAATACAAAAATGGGGGTGGGGAATTGGCGGGTAAAAATATTCATTTTTTCATAGCCTTTATTATTAACTTAACATTTGTTAAGTCATGCTTTCAGGAACACTAATACCTTGTAAATAATTTTTTCTGTCTCATTTAATATGCATGGAGTCCACTGTTCATTTGTAGTCTAAAAGAAAAAAGGAGAAACTGTGAAATATATATATTAATTATGTTATAGTGTATACATATACATGTGCTTATACATCACAATAATCTAAGCATCATCCTTGTGCACTAGTTTGCCTGGTATTAGACAATAAAGTAGAAGACTACTTTACATTTCGCTTGGTCTGACAGACACTTAAAGTTAACCTTCTCATTTGTGGAACAATTATCTCTTAAACTTATAGAACACAGATACTGGTCTCTTACAGGTATCAAAAGCTACTTCAAATTTCTTTTTATGTTTAAAATAAGCAGAGGATAAAAAGCATATCACATACCCACTTCCTTTCCTTTGTTTTTCCAATTCTTTAACTTTTTGTTTCTACCTCAGTCTGACTCAATGTATATAGCTGTACTTCTCTATAGACATGATTCTTAAGTCTCCATGTAACCATGTCTTTTCTCTGTTTCTCTTGCAATCCATTCCAATCATTTTTATTCCCCTTATCTCCCTACTTAGGCCCTCTCCACATAAATAATTATAAAGCAAATAAGTACATGGTCTGATTATTGTTAACCTTCCTTAGTTTCTTACTATTAAGTTGTCTAAATGTGGGGGGAAATGCCCAACCTGGACATACACATTCTCTATATTTAAAGTCCTTCAAAAGAAAACAAACAACACTATAACATACTTAATCAAAATAAATTGCCTTACCTATACCTCAATATAATACATACATAGGTACATATAAACATATATACATGTGTAAGCTATTTAAAAATTCTATCTATATACAAAGAGTGAGAACATAACTATAGAAATTTATCCTCTCCTTTTCTACATATTTAAAACACAACTTGTAATTCATTCAAAAGTTTTGATAATATTTGTTAAATTCTAAAACAAATATAGAATGTAATAACAGCATCACTAAAAATTCTGAGCTTCTAGAAAAGTAGCAGAAAGATTATACACAAAAAATATAATAACTTTGTTGCAATAGTTAACTTTGGATTGTTCCCCTTATCACTTGGGGCAACTTCACATATAAAATATAAATGAAGCCAACATTACCAAAAGACTAAGTTCTCCCAGTGTAACACCAAATGAAAGAGGTTGCATTGGATCAGTTACCTATCAAGGAAGAAAAGGTGACATTAAAATACACTGATGGTGAGGGTGAATCATGTTCCATTGTTTACAACAGCAACACAAGACAATGATTTTACAAGTTAAGTCACACAACTAGTATGGCTTGGTGAAAAAGAAAGGCAATAACAAGACTGGGATCATTCATATCTTGTAGACATTATGCTACTTTAACAATGTTTTACTATAAGTGAGATGACACTAACAACATCTAAAAAGTTCAGTCTCTTTATGTATGACATTAAAGATGTACTTTGTGAAAACTGTAACAGGGCATTACAGATAATCACACTGCCACTAAACTATTCTTAGAACACTTAAGATTTTCACCCTTAGAAATTTCATTTCAGTTTCAATTTCCTCAGTCCCTTAATACAAAATCAGACATGATTAAACTTTTCTTGTACTTCTGATCTTTGATAAGTTATACAATGTTCCCACTGCATCATGATGTATACAATATCACTGCTTTATACATCTTACAGATGTCCAGAATTCATAAAGAATTATTTGGTCATGTCAGAATATAGGGAAACTAGAGAAGAGAAAAAAACATATTTTAAGTAAGCCTACAAGGACTCAAGAGTCTAGTCACATATAACCTTTCTCCATTATGAAAAATGCAAGCTTATGAAAAATGCAAGCTCTAGTATAGATGAAAAACAAAATTAATTTTGTAAGCTTTGTTTTCAATATCAGACATTGCGATTTTTGGAAAAATACTTTTTCATTTATTCCTAAACCAATCTTTTTATGCCTACAGGTAACTGATTCAAAACAACTTACAAATATTACAGAAGAAACTTGGAAAAAAGCAACTCCTCAGTTGCTAATGTATAGTTACAAACCATTGCTTATCAGCCAATGACCATCTTTATGGTAAAGTATTATACTTTCTATTCCCCACACCTTACACTATGTATTTTCCATTATTCTTCTAGATACAGTAGTTAAGGTAATCACATTAAAAGGATGATACAAGTAAGATTCCTTTCTTCTTTTTAATTTTTTTCTTTTATTGTAATATAAGTTGTCACTGATACCAATCTAAACACAAATGACACTATTTATTCCACTATGTGCATCTCTGTATATTTTTATTTAGGAGAGAAATAATGTACCTTTCTAATTGTACTTTTTCAGTAAAAAGACCTAGTTTTAAACTAGGGCCTTTATCAACATGCCATTATTTTTAAGAATAATTTTTTAGCTTCCATGGTATGTTTAGTATATTTTATTTTCTTAAATTTAAATAAGGTCATTTATGAGTAAGTTTTTATAGAATTTATTTATTAACAAAGCACAGTCTAATGAATATATAAAAAGGTAAAATCAGTATTAAAAATATGTCATTGTTAACTTTTTAACGTTAAAAATATGTCTGAGTATTAAGATACATAAGGAAATATCAGAAAAAAATAAGTTCTATATGGTATCACTATTGTTTTAATTCAATCTAAACCAATGCAAATTAAAATAAAAAAGATGTTGAACTCATTTATATAAGAGAAGGAATAATATTTCCTAGATATGTGAAAAAATTCAAGGTTTCTTATCAATGCTTCAAGCTTTAAAACAATGTATGTATTAACTTTAAAATATGCTATACTTTAGCTAAAATGAATCAATAAAAGCTCTTAATTAACTAAAATTAAACATTTAGTTATAAGTGAGGGTTTATTTCTAAATATGTTGTTGATTTCTAAATATGTGCATGGTTGTGGATGTTCAAGTCCGTGGACTATAAAAATAATGGAACAGTCAATTTACATTTGAATCACTCTATTCCATCTACCATTGCAACAGATTATTTCATCACCTCTTGGAACTAAATGTTTTTATCCTTAAAAGACGAAAATTAGTTCCTTAACATTATGATAGTGTGTCTTAAGATATTAAACAAAAATCAAAATAAATAATAAAGGACAATCCAAAAATCTCTAATGTAAATTTTTGAAGGGGGCACACTGTGGTTTTATGACATATCTATACACATAAATGGCCAATGAAAAAGGTCCTACACAAGAAAGAAGATATAGTAGCAAATTAAACAGAAAAAATTAATCTTGGTTTTAAAACCGGGTACAGATAATTCATATATAGACAAATCAATACTTAAATAAAATGTTACTAAGTTAAAGCAAGTAAAGTGAAATCACTTACATCATCTTCATATTTAATGTGAATGTCTGTAATTTTTACTTGTACATTTTTAATTACTTGAGCAGCCAGTTTTTCCAAAAACGTATCCTTTTTGGCTTCTTTTGGTTTATCTACAAAAAACAGAAAACTACAAGGTCAAGAGTTGAAATTCTCACCTCATAATCGATGACCAAAAAGATAGCTTAGGTACTCAATGGAAATTACATCCTGTTCTAGTGTCCTTGTTTTATTTTAATTTTATATTTTAATATAAATTTTCAACTTAACACATTTCTGAATTCACACTGTAATCTAACATTATTTTACCTTTGAAGACAGAAATCAAGTAGCAATGTGCATAAATAACACATGGCATAAAAACTACTGTACCTACCTTTTGAGCGATCAAGACCTTTAAAAGGTTTCTTAAAATGTTTTTTGTGCTTTTTACGTTTACGTCCTTCTCAGTGGAAGCATTTTAGTGAAAAAAGGATAAAATTCAAGTTAGGAGACTAGAGGACAGAAAGGAAAACAAGAGAATTTTTCCTTACAGAAAATTTTTGTAATATTCACCTCACTTTGTTCTAAACTATGCTATGATTTCAATATAAACAGAAATTCTTAAGTTTAGAATAAACTTTTTTAACCTAGAAAATAACTTGATAGATACAATTACATAAAAATATTGGATAAAATATCCACACTCAAAGTCCTTTATAAATTTTTAACTTTATATAATACAAACTTTTAATTTCAATGTTACCAAAATATTGGAAATGTAATAATGACAAAGTATGAAACTTTCAGAGAAAAATGTTGATAGCTATGTGGTAAGGACATAGAAACACAAATGAAAAGAATGGGTAGGTTGCCTACAGATGACCTCCTCTGAATGACACAAGTCACAAGCATAATTCTTTAATGACTTAAGAATAAAAAGAATACAAAATTCATAAAAGGTACACTTAACTATGCACATTGAAATTATCATAATTCCTTTAGTAAACTTACCCTCTTTTATCTAGCATTGCCTCACTGTCATAACATGAATTATGATACCTACCTTATCCAAGTTATACACCTCAATATTCACAAGCCTACTAGACATCAACTCTAGTCTAAACTCTTGAAGGTCTCAAAATGGTCTGCCTGACTCTAGTCTCCATTCTTACCACCTACCAAACATCCTTCTACCCTGCTACTGATATCAGGAACGATAATGTTCTAAAACACTGTTCACAATCTGGCAATCCATGCTTCAAAGTCTTTGAAAGGCTCTCTGTAGTCTGCCAAATACAAAAGGTTTCGTGTGACAGGAAGGTCCTTTCATGATCTGACCCTGTTCTATTACCTACCATTTATAATTGCACTGACCATTACAGAAATATTATTTTTGTTTTCTAAAGTAAATCATACCTTTCTAATGCCTCCAGTCATTTCCTGAACTTGGAATTAATTCCCTCAAGTTTTTTACCTAGCAAACCCCTAAGAGGCTTCCAAATCTCAATTTCAGCACTATCACCTCTGTAAAGCCCTCTTCTAGTCCCCCAAGCAGCTTCCGGGCTATCTGCCACTGTACCTTATATATTTAACATTAAATAGTGAGTGCCCAATACTTAAAGTGCCATGCCAACAAAGAAGAAAATTCCCTAGAACAGTAATTAACCTAATCCCAGTATCTTGGCACAAAACACATGATACATACCTGTTAAGATGAATCCAAAAATCTACATCTAAACATAATAATGAAGTGTTGGAGCTCAATTAATGTTAGATATTTGAGAGAATGAGATTTAGCTTGTAATTTTAAATTTGTTTTTTCTTCACATTTTAAAGCAAATTGTACTACTGCTTTAAAAATGAAGAATCAAATCCAAGAAAAAAAAAAATTCAAGAAGCATAACTGCTTCTACCTCTATCTGTTGAGATATGATGTTGTGATTCAAGCATATGAAGAAAATCTGATCTCAATACAGATCAGAAATTGGTAAAAAAAGAGGAATATCTTCATGGCTTTTTCATGTAATTATTAACACTATATCAAAACTCAACAAGCAGTAGTTTTAAAAGGTTACTACATCTTGGAATCAGAAAATCTTTAACATATATTTCATTTGAATTAAAACCAATTGGTCTGCCGAAAGCAGAATTAAATCTGCATAATGGCCACACCTTTATTGCCTCTCCTGGTAATCTCCCATGGGTGACCTTTCTCCCCTCACACCTAATGGCCTTTGTCTCAGCTGACATTATTAAAAGTGACACTGAAGACATGTGAGGTAGTTAATGTATAGAGAAGGTGTAACATCATCAGTCTTTTCATTTATTCTCTTAAAAAAAAAACCTGATGGGTAGCCCACAGGAATTACAACTTAGATGGAAAAAGGCACAAAAGGATGTAAAAATAAACTATTATGTTATTTTTTAAATGATGCTGAATTTGACATTAAAAATGATATTGAGTTTAAAATTTAGAATGATGTTGAATTTGATGACATGACATAAATTTTATTTACTAAAAGAAAAATCTTTATTTTTCTTTAAAGATGAGTTCTA